ATATATATATATATATATATATATATATATATATATATATATATATATATATATATATATTTGTTTTGTGTTTGTTATAATGTATAGACGACATCAAAGAGAGTTGCAGAAAAGAAAGTTGCAAAGTTTGAGAAAAATATAACAAAAAGGGGATTGGGTCCGATGGCTTCAAAGAAGATGAAAACAGAGCTTTATGTGCTTGCTTTCTTTGTTGTAGTGGTGGTTGGATCCTGTAAGTCCTACTGCATTTTCTTCTTTTTTTTACATAAAACCCAAATTACAAAATCAATTCAAGCATTTATTTTGCCATTAAAGGTATAACTATAAGGTTGAAATACCATAAATGCATAATATTTGTCAACGAATAGAATGTTTTTTTTAATAAATGTAAAATCTGTTAAAAATGGAATATGAAGGAAATTCATAAGGTATTATGTAGTTGATTAGAGGAAATGAAATAAAATTTAATTATTTATTTATATTTAAATATCTTTTGTTTATTACAGAGAATTATAATTATATTTTATTTATTTATTTCAATATACATACTGAGGGAATTTTCGGTTTAAATAAAACAAAGATGAGATTAAATTGAGTTCCTTAACAAGATATCTAAATTTTTAAATTTATGAGAGAATTCAGTTTTTAAGTTTATGAGAGAATAGTAACCCATTATCAAGAAATTTAAGGAATAGTGAAACCCATTAACAAGAAATTCAAAAATTTATGAGAGAATTAAGTTTTTTTTAAAACCAAATATGCAATAATTTAGAATAGTCAAAAACAATGTTAGTATTTAACTTTCCACACTACAAAAAAACTTTAAAAAGTCGTTGTCAAATTATTTAGTTTTTTATTTTACGAAAAAATATTAATAATTTTATAAAAATCGATATTATTTAAAGAAAATGCATCACGTGAAATTTTTAAAATTTTTTGAGCATTTATCGTTAAATAAGTAACCTATCATTCTGAAATTAACTTTCCACATTACATAAACTTTTACAAAGAAGTTATAAAACAATTTTATTATTGCTATTATGAAATAATATTATTTTTGTAACATTTATTTAAAAAGATATTCATTTAATGACATTTAATGACACGACACCATGTTTTTATATTTTTTAGTGATCAACCGTACAAGATATATTTTAAAAAGATATATACCTTTTATTACGAGGATTCTACTTTTTAATATCAAAGTTGACCAACTTTATCTCTCCCTATACGTTTTTTATCATCAAATATTTTCGTAATAATACTTGGCCGAATTTCCCAAGTCAAAGAACAAATTTAATTTACATTTAAATCCACAAGTATGTTTATTGTTAATTAAATTGTGTTTTATCTTGCAGTTATATTTCAGATTGTCAGGCTGGCATTGACGGGATGAAAAGTTTCATGGGTCAAATGTTCAATTAAATTTAAAATCAATTATCTTAAACTTCTAATAAAAATTGCAATGCATCTAAGCATCTTGTCATAATAACTGTTATTTTTACATACTTTAATGGTTTCATGTTGTTTTAAAAAAAAATAACATTTTTGAAATTAACCTTATTACCGTTAATGAAAACATACACATTAATTTGATCTTCTCCAAAGTTTATATTTTCAAATTATTTTAATCTTTGTTTTGCCTGGGTCAAGACAACACTGACATAATAGTTGTATTGTGTGTCGGTATACTGTGATTAAAATGCATTGAACTATATTTGGTATGCATTAAAATTGAGACCATTATCAATATCAATTTTACAAAAATCACAATTTTTTGTACAACACAACAAGGTGACATTGACTCACTTCTTGACGTATCGTCAATAAAAAAGATTTGAATGCCCTAGTCATCCTTGTTTGTATATGGGTTTCTTAAAAAAGTTCATTCATGTCTTAATAAAACCCCCAAGTCAAATCCATCTAATCATGTTTTGTTTTTATAATTTTCTTTTATTATTTTTGTAATAATTTTGTTTATAATTATTAATATTTTCTATTAAATCAATTATTTAAAGTAAACTTATTATTTAATTTGTTTGTTTAGACTACATTTCCGATTAAATTAGATATATTTTTTATTTATTTTTTTTCGTTTTATTTTTAAATATTTTTGCAAATAGGCTCTCTTGTTTATAAAGAAAACTACCGATATTTTTTCTTTTTTAGTATTTTAGTTTTTGTTAATTAAACCGGTACAATTTTTGTTTTCAAATTGGCTATGTGTTACGGATTTTTTTTTCTCACGATTCCAATTCTAGTATACCAAAAACTTTCGTTTACGGTTTCGGTTGTAAAAATTTAGGACAAGTGTATGCTCATGCTAATGTTTAATAAATCTTTAGTTTTCTAATTTAAAAATCTATTATTTTTTTTGGCTTCTTCAAATATACATTTAAGGTTGTTCTTTTATTTATATTTTTAACGTTTTGTTCATTTTTTTTTTAACTTTTTAACTTTTTCTTCGTTTAAATTATTTAATCATATAACCTTTTGATGTATTGTTTGTATATCTGAAAACGGTTATAAGCTAATCCGAAACGTAAAAAACATAATTTATTTAATACAAAATTATTAAATGTGAAAAAACATAGATTATTAAATCCTAAAATGGTAATACCGAGTTATTTCTCCACTACTTTTAGAAAGATTATTAAATATACCAATACAAACTTATTACTTAATTTATTTCTCTTGATTTATGAACAAAAAAGGTTATTACTTATATTTTTATTTTTATACACACCAAAATAGTTAGTATATATATAAATATGAGTAGCGTTAATAAAAAAATGTTTGGAATGTTATAAAATATTTAAAGAAATCTTGAAAAAAATGGAAAAAATAATATAAAAAAGAAAAATAATAAGTAAAAATTATTAAAAAAAATTAAAAAACTCAAAACGTTTAAAACTTATATAACACCCATAAAATTCAAGCCAAATTTAAACTTTTTAATACATTTTAAAACCATTAAGTTATTACAGTTTGTTTTCAAAATGGTTCACACATCAGAGTATCCCCATAATCAATCATGAAAATATGAGGAGGTGCACGATCACGCCTTCACCTTCCCGCAATCATCAGAAGTGCCTGAAACAAAATCAACAACTGTAAGCCTGAAGCTTAGTGAGTTTCTCCAAAATATCAACATAACCATATCATATAACCAATACAGAACATCATGCATAATGAGTCATCAGCCTAACTGGACCGCCTCACAGGCCTTCAGTCTATCTGGACTGCTCTCCGAGCCTTCGGCACGTCTGGACCGCCACGCAGGGCCTACAGCCTATCCGGACCGCTCGACGGGTATGTTGGCCTACAGCACAGAGCAGGACCGCCTCAACCCAACCCCCAATCAAACAAACATGTGCACATAAATATCATACGCTAGCTCATTTCATATAACAGTCAAACCGATCTAACAGATCACCAATCATAGCAACATCCCAATAACCGGGATACAGACCTAACCGGTAACTAACATAGCATCATCCTATAACCAGAACAATCATGTGCACATAGACATCATATAACACTAGCATGTATATATATATAACAGTCAAACCGATCTAACAGATCACAAAACATAGCAACAATCCTATAACCAGGATATCGACCTAACAGGTCACTAATATAGCATCATCCTATATACCAGGATACCGACCCAACCGGGTCACTAAAGCATAACATATCACCATCCTAACTACCAGGATGTAAATCAGTAAGCATAACATTCAATAATCCGAATACAATCCATAAAGGGCCGGCCTTGGTGCCTTAGACCCTATTGATATAGTGAGGAGAACTCACCTGGTATTGCTGAAGTCTTGCAGATAAAACTCCAGCTGCTGGTTGACAGATTCTCAAACTGTCAACATCAAACAATACCCAATTAATAATTGGGTTCCAAGCCCCAGGTCCAAATCACACTCCAAAGACCCAAAAGTCAAGTAATGGGCCAAAGCCCAACATATGGCCCAATATCATATCATCATCAAGGCCCAAACTATGGCCCAATTTTCCAAATTGGGCCCACACCCTCTTATAGGCCTTACCCTAAGCCCATCAACATATTCTAGTCTATATGATCATTCTTGGAAGGTCCATTAATAATCCAATTACCAAAGCCTATTAAAAGGCCCAACACAAAGCCCAAGTCAAATTAGGGTTTCACATAAAATGACAATTAGGGTTAAGTGTTTCTCACTTAATCCATTAAAAGGCTTAAAACATTAAGGACTTAATCCATTAAGGACTTAATCCATTAAGTCCATCACTCTTCTAAACAAGTCATATGGTGTGATTGGGTTTGATCACACAATTCCATTCCAATGGCCCAAAAGTAAGTCCCAATAAGTCCAAGCCCATAAATCCAATATTAGGGTTTTCTAAACCTTAATTAGGGTTTCCAACCCCATCTTAGCCCAATAGGCCCAATTGATATGTCTTTTGATCAAATAAGGTTCATTAGACTCATTAAGGTTTCACTAGACCCATTAGTCATCTGTTTGGGCTTTTAGGTCCATTTAGCTCCATTGGCCCCATTAGGGTTTATTAAGCCCATTAAGCCTCATTGGGCCTATTAGGGTTTCTTAGTCCCTTGACCAAGCATCCAAACGAGTCAAAACACCATCAAAGCACACTGCCACCCGACACGGCAGCCGGTGGCGGCACGATGTGGCAGCCACCACTCTACGGTGGTGGTTAGGTTCTTCTTTTCATTATTTCACTTTGGTTACAAATTACAGTATTACCCTCTTAACACACACAACCACTAAAACACATACTAATTACACACACACAGCCGCACCGTGGCGGCCGGTGGTGGTAGAGGGTGGCAGCCCTATCTTTTCAGCCTCACAAAACACACACCCCACATCCGGTATCAAAATATACTCCAGCCACCCACCTAGCGGCAACAACAGCGATAACAGCTTTCTAGAGGCGGCAGCCACCATGGCCGGCGGCCATGGTGGTTTATCTTTGGGTCCTTCTATCCTTCAAGCATCCATATGGAAATCAGCAACCCTCAAAGC